TTCAGTTTTTAGACCAACGTTACTATAGCTTCACTGATTTTAAATATCTTTTAAAGTGTTTTTGAATGCATATTAAATGTGACTGGAATTCCTTTTGAATAAATGTGTTCTTTAAAACCCAGTGTTGATTTGTAAAAAAATGACCGACTGATCCTATTTTTATGAAGCTTGAAACATTATAATTACAGTATTCTCTTCTACAAACAAGGAATATGTTTTGAGGGAAATGTTAAAAGTTACTACCATTTGGATAAATATTTTACTGCAGGAACAAGTTTGATTGCAAGATATATAGGTTGGGTTTTACAACGCTTTATTTCTTTAAAATATTTTAGAGAAAGAATCTCACTAGTGTTCATTTTTTTCAGCTGAAATTTTGAGTGGCTCATTTGTGGGTCCTTGAGCATAAATACTGAGCTGCATCAGGGCTATCCATAAACACATTATAATTCAATGTTACCTTTTGAAATCTATTTTGAAATTGACTGTCTCAACTGAACTTGAAATGCAATTTCAATCTATTTGATTAAAATGATAATAGTTTGGGTCGTATTACAAACGTTTGCACAGTGCTTTACCAAAAGGGGGAGAACTATCTATTTTCATGTTATGGTATCAGTTTGAATATGAAATGTCATTGACGAACACACCTCAGGGTATAGTCAAAATTATCAAACAAGTTTGAATTTTATTTGGTTTATCGTGAAGGTGCAATCGTTTCAAAAATAAGATAATTTCATCAAAATGGCTTTTGTATTGTCAACCCTTAAATTTCCAAACCTACAATGTGGTCTATTTAATTTCTATATTTACTTTACTTTATATCTAGAAAACCGTTCCACTGCATAAGAACAAATATGCTGGATGAACAAATAGGAAGTTTTCTTGGAAGAAGCCGGTGCACTTCATAACTTGTCCTCAGGGGGCGGTGTCCCAGTCTAAAGACCGCCCACCTCCATCACCCGGAAACAGTCACTAAAGGTCAGTTGGCATCGCTCTTCCAACATGGCGGTGAATCTCACAGACCTCTCCCTGCCTCAATTAGAAGGACTGAAAACCCAACTGGATCAGGTAACCCAACACTAAAAAAGGAAATATGAACCCATTATGTATGTGGGGTCAGAATTAGACTTTATAAGGGTCATAATCTAAATGAAAACGGCATGGTAGCTAAATAGCACATCCGAAGCTAACGGTACAAACGCTAACGTCCCTTAATTTAACGTAACGTTAAAGATGCTATTAGCAAGTTGGAACTATTACCACGTGCGTACATTTTACTTTGGCTTGCGGGAATATGTTAATAATACTGTAAATTAGTGGCCTAGGGTATTGACTGACATTATGTTCTTTATTGCATGGTGTAGTTGTTCTGACAGTTCAACACGGTGGTTTTCTAACGTTACATATGGATGTTTTGCAGGAGATCGAGTTCTTGACGTCTTCAATTGGTCAGCTCAAAGTTGTCCAGACGAAATATGTTGAAGCAAAAGATAGTATGAACGTTCTCAACAAAAAAAACAAAGGTGTGTAAAATACTTTTCTGACTTGCTGCCTCAGCAAGCCTTTATTAAAAGTTGCTACTGGAGTGATGACATATTTAGCTTCACAGTAGTAATTCATTTGGAATGATGATTCATACGTTTTTCTCTGGTGATATTGATTATATCACTAAAACTCGGCACATTTAAGTTTGTTGTATACATTTTCCTCCCAACCAAAGGACTTTCTGCACACCAGTGTGTTTTACTGAATTATATGTCTTAAACATGCATCATCTTACAAAAAGTGCAATTATGCTAATCAAAGTTGTTGAAATCAGCCTTGAGCTTTGTATCTGCAGCTGAAAGAGGTAATGTGTTAATTCTCATTCTCTTGTCACACAGGAAAAGAATTGCTGGTCCCGCTTACCAGCTCTGTATCCTTTTTCCTCATGGTTTCCTGTTTTGTGTGATGTGCCTTAATGAAGTTATGTGTGTCTTGAGATGTGTTTGGTTTCCCTTGACCTTTGTTCTTCTCAGATGTACGTCCCTGGAACATTAAATGATGTGGAGAATGTTTTTGTGGATGTGGGGACAGGATATTATGTAGAAAAGGTATAGATATTTGCATTAGAAAACCCATAAGAAACTGAAAAAATGGGTAGAACGTGTATTCTAATAGTATAACATTCTTTCTTAAAATTGAATTTATTATATATTTGTCTGTCCCTATAGAATGTGGAAGACTCAAAGGCCTTCTTCAAGCGTAAAATAGAATTCCTCACGAAGCAGATAGAGAAAGTTCAACCAGCGCTTCAGGAAAAACACGCCATGAAGCAAGGTAAGTAAAAGCTATTAAATAGACCACTATTTTCTCATTATTTCTTCTCTAAATGTCATCACATCTTTCGATTCAAAACCATATATTTTAATGCTGCAAGTTGCTTATGTTTTACCTAATCTAGTGGATATTACAAGTATACATCCAAAACACGTTTTAGAATGAATAAGTTATAAGAAAATGGTTATTTTGCAAAGGGGTTTGCCAATTAAATTATTACAAATTTATACTCCCTTTACTTCGATAAGCTTTCCTTAAAATGTATAAGACCATTTTCATCTGAAACTAGCTGCTGGCATTGGTGCATCTCCAATAGTGTGGTTCGTTTTAGCCTAATATTAGCTTTTTAACAGAGGTAAAAAGAAAGAAACCTCAGAAACAACTGAGGATTATTTTTGCCTTAAAGTTCAATGGTTGTAATAATTGCAGAATGGACAACATAATCAAACTACGATAATGTCAATCCAAATGGCCTTTACGACAACAGTAACCACATTAGTGGCAGTAATAGTAGAAATAATGATAGTAACATTATTACTTGTATTATAATGGCAGCAATGGATACTACAGGCTGATCCTAAAAGCGGTGACTTTAGCACTAATAGAAGTTCAAATGTGACTAATGTTAAGGATGGTAGCCAGGAAGGGCCACAGCAGCAGGCTCAACTATGATCCATTGAAACCTCCTGAGATGTGTTATGTTTTATGTGTTACACGCTTAATTTAACTTGGATATTGTTTTCTTTCTTACAGCTGTGATTGAAGTAATGAACGTGAAGATCCAGCAACTACAGCAGAACCAGCCGGCATCCCAAGTGGCTGTACCTACCAAGGCTTAACGAGAGAACCTGTTTCAACTCCTCATGATTTGTGTATGTTTGTGTGCAAATAAATGAAGTTGGTGAGTAAATGATGTCACCACTGAATTATGACGAGGCTATTGTTTTGGTAAAGACTTGTGTACTTGGTCATTTTAATTGTGTGTCTGAAACATTTGCATAATTAAAGTGATCATTTATTGATGGTACATGTTTCTTGTATTCTGTTTTCATCAGTGGGGTCCACTACAAAGATGTACTTTTTTTTTTATGCGTCCGGGGAGCCAAGACTGTTGGCGTGCGGCATTAGGTCTTCTTTGCCATTCTAGTGAATGCAATGTCTTATCTGGCATTATTTTAGCATGAATAGGTACAAGGAATTTGACTCAGATTTTACTGAACTGGACCCGAAGCTACTTGTATGATTCCACCCTCACCACTTCTTCCCCTAGATGACAACCAGGACAGGGGGACACCTGCTATACTGGTCGTCAAGCTCAGGGTCCTTGCTCTTGGTTCTAAATCATGGGACTGATCATTTTTGATAGAGAACTAAGTTTATGAGTTTCTTTTTTTCTGCTCCTTTCCAATCGTAAATTGGCCCTGCCAGATAATCTAGTTTTACAAATGGTTCATTTTAACTCTCAAAAAAAGTAACAAAGGCATCTTGTGTCCCACCTTTTATAGGTTGTAAAATTGGCATAAATACTAACATTCAACAATATTTCCCTCTGATGACCTGTTAAAATTATTTTTAAGCACTTATATTCGGTGTTCTAATATTTCACATCTATTTTGTTGACGTAATTTATTAAATATGTTTTTCCACACATGAAAATACATGCAGATCGATATATATTTTGAGCGCAGCAAATATCCCTTTCTGCTTCGTATCCCTTAAAAAGTAGACCGAATATAACTTGTAAAACATTTATCTGCGGTCCCCAATTGTTAGAAGACAAAAGTTTGCCCACATCTGTTACAAACTCCACACCGTTGTCATATCCTGTCAGCAATAAGCAGCCACTACTTGATAACTCTTGCTTTTCAATGTCATGTGAAATATCGGTCACTTCAACAACAAAAAAAACTGCAGCTCTGGAAGTCACGTCACGCCGGCCTTAAGGCAGGTCTCACAAAGTGCACCGGCTGAGCTCCGCGACCCGCCGCGTCCTCTCGCAGGGGTCACGCGCAGTCAGCCGCTGCGCCTCTTTAGCGTGCGTTGCGGGTGGAGTGCAGCTTGTCGGGGGGGGACAGAGGACGCAGCTGTCACACGCTGGACGAGCGCTTCCTCGGAGCGGAGCAGAGCGGGTACCAGGACTCGAGTTTAAAGACCACGTCGCGTCAAATGGGAACGATTCAAATCGGCTTAGCGGTCGTTGGTGTTTTGAAATAAGACGCTTTCAACGTCGTGCGTGGCATCGTTCGGGCTGGAGCGCGTTCGGCGGTTTTGGGTAACGTTACCGGGGAGACGGTAGCTACGACGACGGGTCGCTTTAAATAGTTGTGAGGCAACATTTTTTTTTGTGAGCGGTAAAGCCTTCGATAAGAATCAAACCAACGGGGCCATTGCATCTGCCGGAACTGAGCCGAGGGCACCATACGGACCGGATCGAGGCAGCATGGTGAGTTTCGGGGCCTGGGAGAGGGCACGCTAGCTAACACGCGACAACCTGTTTGCGTCCTTCCAGTGGGACAAACCTGCTTTACCCCGTTGTGGTAACTTTAACCTTTTAGCTGACTCTTAATGGTCACACTGCCGAAACAGGACTTTAATCACGTGCATGGTCAGTTCATCATGTAAGTCTGTCAAACAAATTAGCGTAGGGTTGTAAAGTAAGGCCGGTTCTAACTGGTCTGCTAGTAAACTTAAGCTAGTTAGCTAAAGGCGGGTATATATGGTTGACTGCGTAATACCCAACACGCTTAACGTTACCCCATCAACACGTGTATTAGGACACAATGTGGAGAAAACATGGCCTCTCGCTTTATTGCGCTAGTTGTTAACTAACGTTAAATGTAGAACGCGTGTCCTTAACGGCTCTCACGTGATGACCAGTAACGTTACGTGGTTTGTGTTAAAGGTAAAGTTAATACGCCGCGGTGTAAGTTAGCAAGCTATTCAACGTTAGCTAACTGTTAGCTTTCTTAGAGTTCCGCGATAAAGGTCATGGGCTGCGGAGACGTCAACCTTGAGAGGAACAATGTGGGTGGATACGGTAATCAATCAACACAAAACTCCTTGAATGCAGATGTATCCGTTTTGCATTTAAAGAGACGATTTTTAACATCGTCACATATAGTTGTGCTGGAACCATGTGCTCCTCTCCTCCGCCCACGCCACTATGCTTCACTGCAAACCAAGAGCTGTCCAATCGTTACCAAATTCTGGACAGGAGACTGGATAACGTTAAAGGTTGTGAGAGGGTCGCAGAGTGGTTTTGCATAGATAACAGAAGCGCAGCCGAGGTTCCGCAGAGCATGACAGGTCAATATGCCATGTTAAACATACGCTGAAGCTCAGAGGCGGACTTTGTAGCATGTGACTGGGAGAGGCGGGATATGAGGGACGACGCAGCCAATGAAACGGACGGATTTGAGTGAAGAGCCAAAGTCTCTCAAAGACGGAAACCGGTGCAGATCAACTACACCATTGGCTGTGGGGAAGAAAGTCGCTTCTGAATGATTGAAGTACCCTGCTAAGAAATAGTAAAGGAATGAGTGGTGTAAAACGTAGAAACTGTTTTCAAAACGTATTCCTTAAAAATCTACAGTTTTTGAGTGAAGGTTAAAAGAAGACGAGACCTGAGGTAATGAAAAGCATACATTGTTTTCCTCGTTTTACATTTGTTCATGTAAAATTGGCATCTTAATGTCTGTATTAAAAAAAGAATAAAGAATAAAATAAAAGCATACATGCATGTAGGGATTCAAAGAGGAGTCCGCGCTAAACACTGACTTTTTAAAGTGATTGTCATGCTGGCATTTAAGATAAAAAGCACTTACCTGAATCGTTTTGCACATCCCTTTTGTTATGTTTAAGGGATAGTTGTGTATCCAACACTCAAACTATTTCATGTAAAAATATGTCCCTTTAAATGCACCAGCCTTTATGCACAGTCCTGTTCTGACTAACTGCAGTATTTAAATATCACTCATGAAAGATATAGTAATATTTAGTTTGTGATGCACATTCCGCTGCTTGTGGCCCCTTTTTATGTACTAAAAATGGTTTGCCACTGCTGGAAATTTCTTTTTCCAAAAATCTGAAAGATCACCAAAACATTGCTCTCTGCTCAAACTTAACGCAACATGTTTCTTGTAACTTACTGCTGAAAAGTGTACCCAAAATGTTGTAACACAAGTGTATTTTTTATAATCGTGCAGGTTACCACAAAGGGAACAAGTCTGAACCCCAACGCTAAAGTGTGGCAGGAGATGCCTGCCCACCAGAATGACGTCCCAGAGGAGACAGCGGATTCTCCATGGCTACTGACCTACCCGCCTCCTGCTGAGATGACCGACGGTATGAGCTTTGTACTGTGCGCAGTGTTTTTCTGGTAGTTGAGGAAATTGTTGTAACTTGTGTTCTTTGCTTGTCGAGCGCATTAGATGCTGCTGTCTAAACATGACCTTTATTTCACAATCCTTCTCCCTGCGCTTGTCTCTGCCATCTCAGGTTACGCCGACGTTCCATCTTCAGCAGGAAAAGGATATGAAGCTGAATTCCCGGACGGCACTGTTGCCTACGCCTCTGTACCCGCAGAGTGCATTGTAAATGGCACTGACCACACTATCTCTGAGTATTTAGTCTTTGACCCTCAATGTGACTCGGCCATAGATGCTGATGCTTCTGAAGGGCAGCCAATGACCGAGGAGAACCTAAGAGAGTCTTTGAAGAAACAGCTCGAGTTCTGCTTTTCTAGGTTAGTGGGGAAGAAATGTTCTCTCTCTCTCTCTCTCTCATATATATATATATATATATATATATATATATTATATACCTTTTAAACAACACTAACTGAATTGTCATGTTATGCTTTTAATGACTGCATTAGAGCTAGCTATTTGTAGAACAGAGTATATAGGTGCACCTTAAGTGTGTCACCTTTTTTTAGGGTATGAATCATTGGTCTAAAGGATTTTTGACATTGTGACTGATTGTTTTTTTCGCAATGTTTTGGGTGATTGCAGAGAGAACCTGTCAAAAGACCTGTACCTGATATCCCAGATGGACAGTGATCAGTTTGTTCCTATCTGGACCATTGCTTGCATGGAGGACATCAAAGCCCTTACTACTGATATGGCGCTCATTCTGGATGTCCTGCGAGGTAATAATGCTGCTCTTCTGCCTGCATTTGTGCAAACCGCTTGCGGCTTCAATGACACTTTACAGACAGAGCTCAGCGACATGTCAGACTTGAATGAGTGACCTCATTGAAGTCCCAGTGAAATTGTAGTTGGTCTTCCAACACACAAGACAGGCTGACACATCGTCCTCGTGTCATAATCTATTTACAAGACTAAAGGAGTTTTAAAAGAAATGTGTTTTTTATTATTTGTTTGGACCTATGTTGTTAATTATGTGCACCGTGTGTGATCTAAAGAGGCTTTTTTTCATCTCGATTTAAACTAAGTTATTTAATCTGACACAAATTCTCTACTTGCACTATGTAATTGTATTGTTGGCCCTCAAGTACCTTTCAGATGGTGAAAACACTTGTGTTGTGTCTTTGTCACAGCTTTGCCTATGGTGCAAGTGGATGAACCTGGAGAGAAGGTTCGGCCAAACCACAGTCGCTGCATCATCATTTTGAGAGAGGTACCAGAGACCACACCAATTGAGGTAAAGAAAGTTCCATACTGCTCGCTAAAAACACTCCTTCATGTGTAATCTCTGACTTGCTGAATTTGACGCTAAACTTTATTTGTTGTAGTGGGTATATTGTAGCTTATTTTCAATTTATTGTAGCAGAGCCTGCAGGGAGATGTTGTGCGAGTTTAGTGTTGGTGGGTGAACGGCATAATATGGGCCTTGCATCTCTTTCACAGGAAGTGGAGGCTCTTTTTAAGAGTGAAAACTGTCCAAAGGTGTTGGGTGTCGAGTTTGCACACAACAGCAACTGGTACATAACATTTCAGTCTGATTTGGACGCACAGCAGGTACGTCTCCACATTAATGAACACGTGGCTTACTTTTATACCATTTGCTGCATACTCCTAAAGTCAAAGCTCATGTAAAAGAGTCTGCTGAACAATACCACTACATATTCAATGTGATCTGTAATTTGCTCTGATCCCATTATTTATTTTTTTAGAACAAAGTTCCACAGTGTAGGTGCAAGATTTTAATTTTGATCATATCTTTCTTTGCTACAGTAGCCTGTTCACTTTGCAAAACTTTACGGGAAGATGCTCTCACAAATGTTTGATTTTATTAACTTCAGCGAGTTTATTAACAACTCCTTATTGTTGGTAATTAACAGTTTCAGTTCTGAGCTCTGATCATCACATTAGTGCCCCAGGAGTGAGGGTGAGGATTGTATTAGAATTGAAAGACAGAACTTCTCTAACCTTGTGAATATCTATATGTTTTGACTATAGGCCTACAGATACCTAAGAGAGGAAGTGAAAACGTTCCAGGGAAAACCAATCATGGTGAGTTCAGTGACGGAAATGTAAAACTAATAATTAACTTTATTTAGTATGTTGCTACGGGGTTTTTTTCAGCTGGGATCCCTTGTTATTATTGCTTGTTATTCACACAGTTGTATGGAACCAGCAGGCCTTGTGTTGCACAATTAGTTCTGTCATCAGCTATTACGTCACTACCCGGGCTAATCCGGAGCCTCGGGAGTGACCTTGGGAAATGTGTACAGAGAGACTTGATAAGCAGGGAGGTGTATGTCAGAAGTGCCCTTATATCTCTAAACAGTTTTATTTCCCTTCTTATCGCAATGTGACATTTACCTCTGTATTTCAGGCATCTAATACATCCTTTTTCAGGTGGACTTTGAATTGACCTTGTTTGCATTTGATGAAACAAACAAGTCTTGTGACATTTATGGCCTTGTCTAAACCCCAGTGATGATCAGTATCGCGCTTGGAAGGACCCATATGCACTGTGGCTGGTTGGGAGGAACCATCATCTGAAGCTCTTTATCAATCTGCTTTGTCTGTGCTTACTTTACTTCCCCATATTCTCTTTTACTCACTCTCTCCCACCCTCCCCCCTCCCCCCCTCTTCCTCCTAGTCAGTGCAGTGTTGTATGGCCTAATGACCGTGAGATTATGAGATCTGAGGGGACTGAAAAAATAGGCCGATCTCTTAGCAAATTCGTAGCGAACACAGCTGATTATGTTCTTTCTTTCTCCCACCACCACCACCACCAACAGGCCCGCATTAAGGCCATAAACACATTCTTTGGTAAGAACAGCTTCCGCAGTGTGAACTCGAGTGTGTACAGTCAGCAGGCCCAACCACAGGCTCACTATAGCGCCCCAGTTTACATGCAGCAGGCGTACAGCCCCCAGCAGCAGTACCCCGTGTACCCCGTGGTGTCTCCCTCATGGAACCCTGCAGTCGTCCCCTACTTTGAAACACCACTGGTGAGGGAACAACTTTTATTTTAAATTTTCAAATGTATTATTCAACACATAAGAGACAGTGGTAAGAGCTTATCGTCAAATTGTATCTACCACTACCAGGCACCTTTTCCACATAGCGGTTTCATGAATGGTTACAGCAGTCCTGGGAACTATGAACCAAACGCAAGCACTATCAACAACCATCGACCCATGAGCAGGAACCGGTAGGTGCAAGTCACAATTACATGGTACCTCCCTTTCATAGTCATGCTGATTATCAACTGGGGCGTATTCATGGTAGTATGAAATGTGTTTTCTCTTGTTTGCCCAGACACCATGTTAAGGGTCACCCTAGGCCTGGAGACATGCCACCTTCTCTTGCTCAAGGGCCCCTAATGGATAGCCTGTCTGGTCCCTTAAGTCCACGACCCCTCCAGACATCAGTGAATGCGACCGGCACCACTATGGGAACAGCCTCCCTAACCTCCTTCAGCCTTAAAGACACTTCTCCACAGGCCATCCTACCAAGTGGATATCTGAGTGAAGCTTCCCGGGGAAGGTGAATGAATATTATCCTGCTTATTAACACTGGTGATGAAGGTTTACATCCAAAATGTAACTAGCAAATATGCATTAACGCGCGTGTCGTGAATAATTTTCAGTTTGCGTACCTTGTCCTGTTTTGTTTTTTTACATCTCAAAGTTACATTGTCTTTAAGGAGACCCGTAACATTGTCATTCACAATTTGCTCCAGGAAAATGAACTCATTGCATTTTTATATTTATTTATATAAACATAAAAAATGTTCTAATGTGAAATGATCTGTATTCATTGTAGGAGAGGTAGCTACAGAGGCATGAGGAGGAAAAGGGAAGATGAAAATACTACGGTCAGTATTTCCTCTTTCATCTAATGAAATAAAGTATTATTTCCAATGTTGACCAAAGCGGTCCTGGTGTCATTCCTTTTATAAAAAGGTATTTTGTATTTTATTTTGTATTTTTTTTGGCAAACTTCAGTGTTAAATATCTTACATTTTGATGCAAATTGCTTAAAATTACAGAGGCCTGTCCCTCTGATGGAAACTAAAGTACCTCCTCCACCGAAGTTTGACCTGGCAGCTTCCAATTTTCCTCCTCTGCCGGGATCTGTGGTCAGTATGCTGGGAGAAACTATGCCAGAGATGCGCCTTTCTGATGTTGTGCGCGGCCTAAAGGTAACAAACAAGGTAAATATCGTTCATACCTTTTTTACTGTCGAGACTGCTGTAAGCCACAAAGAAGGCCGTTGTTTAAATGTACATCATTGTATATTCTTGATTATTTCAGCCTGTGAATCAAGAGGTTGCCGGGACCCGACAAACTAACCACTCTGAAGAAGCTGTCGGCAAACCAAATGCTCTAACCCAGGTGGCTGAACCTCCTCCTGTGACACCGCAAACGGTGGATCCACCAGTCTTAAGGTAGTTTTCATCAAGTTTCTAAAACGTCTCTGAATTGAAAAGGCATAAACAATGGAATTAACCAATATTTGACCTTTTTTTGTTTAAACAATTTAGTGTGTCTCCTCCGGCAAAGGAAGAGGATGTAGCTGAACCTTCTATTCCTAAAGACACATCCTCCCCGGCCCCCCTCCCGACAGCCTCTGAACCCGCTCCCTCCGCCTGCAGCCAGTCTGCTTCTACTGAAGCACCGTCCTCATCGCCACCATCTCCAACATCGGAGCTGGTAAGGCCCGCCTTGTCATCACGACATCAGCTTATAGTTCCCTCTTGAATCACACATCATTCAAAATAACCCTTAGACTGTTTGAGGTTGAATTGCAGCAGATAGCGTGTGGCTGTTTTATTGTTTTCATTTTGTTTCATTGTTTAAATTCTGCCCATTGTTTGCTTACCAGGGGTCAAGAAAGCTGAGCTATGCAGAAGTGTGCCAGCGGCTGGCCAAGGAGCCGCCGCCACCACAGACGCCCTCCCCCTCCCCTCCCGCCTCCTCAGCCAACCAGCCACTGCAAGAGCTCAAGGTTAACCGGGCGGAGGAGCCTCGTCACAACTCCAGGCGCACTACAGAGAAACCCGGGGAGAGCCGCCCCCCTCGCCAGCCTTTGCGCTCCTTCAGAGGGGCCAATGGCCAAGCCCGACCCGGAGCCCTGAAGACTCGGGAGAATCCGAGAGACCTAAATACTGGCAAACCCTTCTCTCCTCACCGGGGAGCCAGACGCAGTGGCAAAGAACAGAACATCCCCCCTAGATCCCCCCACATAACGGGAGAAAAATGAACCTATAAAACAGAAAGGAAAAACTATTTATGTAAATATATAATATATGTAAATAGACAGATGATTATATTTCATTTGACAGACTTTTTCAAAGAATCTAAATATTGTTGCAGACCTGAAATACTTTTAAAGGAGGTGCACATACTGATTTGAGAAAACATACTTTGCTTAAAGTAATCTCACCGTGACGTTCCCAAAAGATGCCTTCATAAACGGGCTGAATCTGTAGTGTGTAAATGAGAGGGATGTTGTTACTTTTTAAATAGAAGGTAGTCTTGACATTTAGCAAGCGCAGTCGACATCTTAAATGAGGCCCGTCTGGGTAGCGATTTATTGTTGGTATGTGATTCATCCAGGGTGTTGTACCAAATTTGTTTTGCATTGAAATCAAGGATGTAAGTGATAATGAATGACGAGGAAGATGTTAAAACAGTGGGGTGTTTGATTAACTACAGAAGGTTTGAGGAGCCGTATTTTAAGGCCTTGCATAATGTAGAAACGGTCTACAAAAGATGCTGATGAATATGAAATGTATTCAGACTATTGCGTTGTGCAAACATTATCCTTTGTTTCGCGTTAGTCATCTTAGTGATGCAGGTGTTTGATCAATACTAATGACTGATATAAGCCCTGTAAACTTACAGGACTAGATCAGTTTTTCTTTTTTTCTTTTTTACAGGAATGTATCAGGGATTTAACTCCTGTGCACATCTGTATGTCTTGTACAAATTCTATAGTGAGAAAAGTAGTTGTCAGCCAAATAACCTCCTGTTGCTGAGGGTTATTGGGCTTAAGCAGGAGCAGAACGACGATATCCTTGCTTGATCACAAGTCACTAGTGCGTGTGTGTGTGTGTGTGTTATGGAATTTGGTGGCTAACTTTGGTTCTAGGCCTGGGTTCTAATGTGGCTCGTTATGTATTTCCAGTTTCGGGATGGTTTCTGGAGTAGAATGATGGATCCTTAAGAGTAAGCTGTCCTTGTTTGTTACTCTCGATTTAAGGTGATTATTTCATGGTTGATGTCATTGTCGATGTCTAAAGGTGATGCAATGAAGTTGATAGCCTGCATTATTTTTTATTTTATTTGATACACCATAAGCTTCAGATGAATGTAGTCCTTTTTGGTATAAAACCACTTTTGATCTTGTAAATGTCCATATGTAGTAGTAGCTTTCTTTGAGTGCGTGCATATACAGATTTTTCTTTTCTTTGTTAATGTTCTTGTTTTTCGTGCTGGGTTTAATTTTCTATGCTTTTCTTCTACTGGTATTAACAGTTTTTGTATTACGAGTACATAAGCGTGTCGACTGATCCAAGAAAAGATACCAGGTTATTGACAACTGAATTGGATTCTGATCAGCCAGTTATGTCTAACGGTGAGCAGAACACAACTGGACTTTCAGTGGCGGGAGTTTAAATGCACCATCCTTAAATCTCCTGGATTCCTAATCCTAAGAAGTTAAACATGGAAAGGGGTTGCACATAATTGTGCAACTTAAGTGTAACTGTTTAATTATAGTGTTCTTTTTTCGTCAGATTAATCTGTTGTTGCAATTGGAAATGAACAAAAAATCAGTGAAGATAAGAATTGTAGATTTTTAGGATTTGGGGGATAAATCATTTTGAATGTCTGCTGCTTGTAGGGACTTTATTACAGTGTGTTCGGTGTCTTGTAATCTGTAGTTTAGCTGTCTCCTGTGTGTACTGTATTATGGTTGTTCGAGATTGCGTTGGCTTCAGACTGCATGGAACTATTATCACAACCCAAACCTTCAGTGCCTTAACTCGTTTTGTAAAAACAGTGCAAGAATTGTGAGTACATCTATTCGTCACACAAAACGTGGCTGGTTAATTCTTTGTCAAAATCCAATGTATGTCATTTTTGACACTGAAGACACTGGATTCCACTTGCGGCTGATCCCTTGTTCTTGTAGGTGCAGGGCTGGTTAGAGTGAAGCTTTATGCCTGTGCGCATGTTTGTCCGTTATGTCTATGACACATTTCATTCTCTTAACTTGTCGATGCAATGTCAGTCTTGTAACAATGCTGCGTTTAACTCTCAATCATGAGATTGCAGTTTTACGCCTAATACACTGGTTTATTATGTGATTGCTGAGCCTGAAATGTAAAAAATAAATATTTTTAAACTTATTTCTGCGTGTGTGAAATGATTTGTCTTGTGGCCCTTAATTTTACTTTATTTGAACCTGCAATTTTGCCCATCACGCAACACACACGGACACCACCCGGAACTAAGTTGGCGTATTCGGTTTAGAATCTCTACAGTGCTCTGACGTGTGTCACCAGCACAAAGGAGCGGAATAACACTGCTGAAATTAATTAAAGATCGTATGTCAAGGCAACATCGGAGGACATGAGGATGCAGTGAAGTCACCGGCATCAAGTCCACGTTTTCCCCTCGTCGTCAACCCTGTTACGTAATGTTAAAACCGTGTTCTCGCGGTGTTGCTAATGGAAGTGTCAGAGTGTCAACAACGGCCAGCCATCGGTTCGGCAGCACTGTCCGGAGCAGGGAGGGGGGAGTCGAGAGGCTTTAACGTCTGGTAAGTTTAGCCACATTTCGGACCATTGAGCGTAAAATGTGAGATTTCTGGGTGTAAATTCAATGTACGTTCATACAGTGTGATGTTTTCATGCGGTCGTACGTTAGTTTATGGGCACAGCTTTTTTCCCCTTTTAGCATTAGCATGCTAACGTGTAGCCAACCGTACTGACTTAATGACGCTAAGCTAACCGAAGCTTCGATTAGCTGTTAGCATTATCTCAGCTAGCTATGTTGTGATTAGTAGCTATGCTATAACGTTCTCTTTGTGAGGCGTATCCGATCGTCATCTGTCTGCTGTTAGTTTCCATCGTGTCAGCTTCCAGGCCCGCTATAATAACACTGCTGTCCGGTTTCTGAAACCAAACATGTTAGGGTGGTTAGCTACTAGGTTATGCTAGCTTAAGCTAGCTTAAGGCCCATCTCTGTTGCGGTCGGAGCTAGCCCGTGTATTGACACAGCGGGCTCACCTGCCCACAGTCCGTAACTAAGAACCACGCCGAACGACCTCGAGTGGTCGCCGGCTCGTCGCATTGACTGGCGGTTACGGCAGCTGGCTCAGCGACACACTGCTGCCTCGTCGTTCCAGTCAAACGCCGGTCCCCGGTTATCCGACACCGAAGCAAAGGTTCCAAACAGGCCAACAGTTATGGCCTGTTTTCTTCATAACCAATTATCACCAGGAGGATTTTCTAACGTCCTTGGTGACCGGTGTGCACGCGCAATTAATGGCGCTGAAATGTGTCCATCAGTAGGTGCGCGGTGGTGCCGTTAAACTGCCGTTGACTGATGCTGCAGGTTGATGCATAATGAAGTGAAAACACCTGCTTACGTACTCTAATATTAAACCGTTACATTTGAGTATTTTCTGGTGTGTATACTCATAAAAAGTAAACAGTTACAGTATCGCTTCAGTAGCATTCAACAAATACCAGCAATATATTGTTTTAGTAATTTACGACTGAATATGTATAAATGAATAGAGCTGTTAACAAATTATTGTTTGTTTGTTGTTTTTTTCCCAGAACATTTGTCTGAGATGGGGGATGATCGGCCCTTTGTGTGCACTGCCCCTGGATGTGGGCAGGTATAACTGGAGAATGCTTCATGCGATATGTTGATCTCTATAACACCCTCTTCACTCTGTTAACACTCGATACCTCTGATCATCCAGCCGAGCCATCTGAAACACATCTTTGCCTCTGTTGTCATTACATGAACTCACTCCTATTTAGTTAAAGGGGAATTTGGCGATTCTACTCCAATACACTTTGTTTCAAACCCAGCTCTCTGTTCTGTGTGCATACGCTGAAGAAAAGAGTGGTCATATAGAGTTTGCTTTAAATGAAATACAAAGTGTCTCCGTGCGAAACCACACAACTCCTGTCAGTACAGAAGAATGTTCATAGATGTATAAAGAAAAAGGCAGTGGGAGCAAGAGGGAGGGTGAATCTGGCACATGCTAACAGTCTGAAGTAGCACTTTCATTTGTGTATTTGTTTTGGTATTGATTTTCAAATATAAGCAATATTTGTCCAGAATCTCAGACTTCACCTACTGTACAAATTCCAAAAGAATAGATAATGATCAAATCCTACTTAACTGTGGACCATCGCCTCAGAAAGCAGGTGTATTGTTTATCTTCTGTCAATTATAAAATCAATTTCTATCAAATACTCACATTTTCCAGCAGCACAGCGGACACTGTTGCTACACCTCATATTTTGTTTTCTTTTTTTTTAATCTGCAGAGATTCACAAATGAAGACCACCTTTCAGTCCACAAGCACAAGCATGAAATGACATTAAAATTTGGTCCGGCCAGAACGGACTCTGTTATCATTGCAGGTAATGACATTACCATTTGAAATGTGTGTTTTTTTTTTTAAATAAAGCTAAAAGATTTACCCAGTTGTCAATCCTCTGATTGTTTTTATATACTACTGGGATGATCCATCTGTCCTGTTACCCCCTCGAATAACATACTATATGTTTTTGGTTGTTGGGCGTTTTTCCAGACCAGACACCCACCCCCACACGTTTCCTGAAGAACTGTGAAGAGGTTGGCTTATTCAATGAGCTGGCCACCTCCTTTGAAAATGAGTTTACCAAAGCACACGAAGACGACCAGAGGACCAAACACCCGGTGAGAAAAGGGATAAATTAACGCATTAAATGAATGTCACGCTGTGTTTCCTTATTAAAGTGATGTTGCCATTTTTTTACTTTAGAGAATCTGAAAGGTTATACTCATCTTCTGCTCTCTGCATAGGCTGCACCTTTACAAACACCATCTGAAGTCAAAGTTAAACATGAGGGTCCTTTGCAAGTGGATTCTTCCTCTCCCGGAAGTCCAGATTCCTCTTCCAGCATGTCAGACAACAGCCGAGACTCGAGGGTGAGAGGCAAAGTACAATGCATTACATCAAGCGAGCAACTTGTATCACAGCCACGACTGTGAGTGATGTCCTGTTGTGTGGGTGCCACCCTGGTTAGTGTCCAAAAAATCACTGATAAACCAGCTATTTGTTCAATGCAGCAATATACCAGCAATTTTGTCAATTGAGCATACCTGCTTTATGAAGGCTTTTGTTACCGGTTGTTGAATATCAATGATTAGTTTCCTGTTCAGACAAAATATATTTCTCAAAGGAGAATACGTTTTATTATTACTGTTTGATTTGTCAACAGGAGATTCTCACAAAGCCGGTGGTAAGCTCTGCACCCACTCCAACCATTGTACGACCAGGTTCTCTCCCCCTTCACCTGAGCAATGATGCACTTCACCCAACTCTGCCGTCTCCAACATCTGTCATCACGCAAACACCGCCCTCCAACAGACAGCTCAGGTAAACTGCAGTGTGTTCCTGTTTGCACTATTTTTAAACATTTTAAAATTGATATTCTGGGAAAATGTTCACAAAAATGTCCGTCCGTTATGGAGTTTGTTGATATTATCTGGTTGATTGTTGAATAGGGATGTAACGAATGTTCGCGGTGCTGCCAATCAACAGCGGAAAGATTGAAAAAAGAAAAAAGAATGGCTGTCGATTTTTTTAAAAACTTTACATGTTGAAATCGTCAGGAGGAGAACCAGCAACATTAACTGTATGCAGCTGCGAGGGTGACAAAGTCTTGCTTAGCTGAATTCCATCAGCTGATGTTAGCAGTGTGCACCAGTTATAGTATGATGCGTTCGCAAAAGAAAGAGCTGTGCCCATAAACTAACATACGACCACATGAAAACATCATACTTTATGAACGTACACCCAGAAGAACGTGCCCCTGCTGTAGCATCTGAAGCCCTTCTAAGTCTATTATTTTGTGAGCTTAGATGTTGCGTTAAATTAATGAAACATAAGCTTATATATTGTTGGAAATTGTTTGTAATTAATTTTCTTTCATTTATGCAAGATCGTCTTTGCATTACGTTTTGAGTTGTCCAGCCGTCTGTTTGTTCCATTCATGTGAACGTCCTTTCTCTGGACCGCCTAAAGAGAATTTAATCAAATTTGGCACAAATATAAATATAATCTATAAATATTGTCAACCATCAAGGATAATTAGAATTTGTTCTTTTAAGGTTCAACACTGACAATTTCACACAGATGTTTAATTTGTGTGAAACTGCAAGCCTGTAGTTATAGTTTTGATTTTGTCTTTTCTGCCATTTATTTTTCTGTTTGAAGTTTAATTTATTTATTTTTTCCCCGTCTTCTCTTCTTGATCTAACAACACAGGTGAAGTAGGTGTGTTGATGCTAACAGTCCTCTACAGCTCCATATTGCTGTGATTCTTCAGATACCCCCTAAATTGTGCCTACTTTTAAGAGATCAAAGAAAATCCTTCTGATGATGACCCACATATTCTCCAACTGCCGTTTCATTGGGACTTGCTGGGAGTGTCGGCTGGCAAAATAAAATGCTTTTCCATCCTGGGTCTCGATCGGTATGGTGCGGCTATAGAATACAGGATCGTCCATTTATAAGTGTCCGATTTGGTCAACAGTTCCCCAACAAGTGTTTTTCCACTGGTGAGGCTTCCTAATGGGCAGACGCTCCCGCTGCTGCCCAGTCCTGGTCAGATGACCTCAGTCATATCTGTAAGTTAATTTCAAATCATGAAAAAAATATCTATATGTAAATAACTATATTTCTACTTTTAGTAATATTTAACGTATTCCATCTGTTTCTCTCTCTCTTGTGTGTTTGTTTTAATGTGGAGCTTGCGAGGCCAGCGACCGCGGTGCCCAACATCCCAGGGATCCCAGGACCTCCAGTTGGTGGGGCCAGCAGTGGATCATCCTCCCCATCTGGGTATAGTCTGCACTCGGAGACCAAGATGGTGAGATGAGCACCCAAAACCCCATCTGGAGGGCTGCAGGCTTAAACAAAAGTGTTCATTTATATAGTTTCATATTTATAATTGAATAGTTTCCCTGATATTGACATCTGTATTTAAACAGTGTGTTTGAGTTAAACTTACGAGTGTTGTTTTTCTGTCTTTTGTAGCGGCTTAAGGCAGCTCTCACTAATCAGGGCCCAGGAGCACAAGATGGGGCTTGTGGGGGGGCAGGATCCATCCCGGCTGTCCCCCAGCGACCGGAACAGGGCCAACAACCCACTCAGAACTCTGATGCACCATCACCTGCGCAACCCCAGGTAATACCAATGCCACATATGCTCGTATACAGACCCTCAATTACAATCAGACTCTTAAACGCCTTAAGTGTAGAGAACCTTTTTATAGGCGTGAATGTATACAAACATGGGTCTCTCAGATAATACGCAATCCATAATCTGTCTTCAGTATCAAACACTCAACCCCCTTAACCTAAACAAGGATTATTTGTGACATATTAAGCAGATGTTTTGGGTCAGAGGCAGATTATGATGCTGCATAAACTAACTGGAAACGTGCACTCAAGAGTGTAGCTCTCCACCAGTTGTGTGTGTGGTTGAGGAACAGGAAGTGCACGGCAGGCTGCGAGTCCACCGTTTGGCATGTCAGTATTGGAATTAAGGGGAGACGATATGCAGGTTACCGTGTCATACGAGGTATGAAGTAGATGATCGTCATATGATCTTTGCTTATGTCATCAACTTCACCAGACAGGCAGTTGGCACCCAATAAGTAGATAGTGTAACTGGTGGATTACTTCTAGTGAATGGCATTCGTTCCCAGGCAGACCTCATCTAAACAAGTGCTAGCAGCTAGTATTGCCTGCTTGTTAATGTCCATTTCATCCTAATATAGCCTACATTTGTGGACTTTGCTGAGATAGACTAGATTGAAAGGTCCATCATTCAAAGCTGAGCTTTGGGAAAGAAGGAGACACCATAAACGATAGGAGAGAGATAGAGAACAAAGCCTGCGGCATACAAATAACCTAGTAGCATTCCCTGTCGACCCTCCTTTCTCCCAAGGTGTCCCCTGCTCAGCCAACAGGAGGTCGGCGGCGGCGAGCTTCAGAGATGGACCCCGACGAGAGGAGGGAGCGTTTCCTGGAGAGAAACCGAGCGGCCGCCTCTCGCTGCCGGCAGAAAAGAAAGCTGTGGGTTAACTCTTTGGAGAAGAAGGCAGATGATCTTGCCGGCATGAATGTGTCACTAAGTGTGAGTCTTCCACTTCCCTCACACTCCAGGGTTGTATTTATAATTAAATAATGCACACAGATTGCTCGTGCTGGGAGTGATTTGGGTGCTGTATATTTTGTGTTGCCATCAGAATGAAGTGAGCCTGCTGAGGAACGAGGTGGCTCAGCTGAAGCAGCTCCTCCTGGCCCACAAAGACTGCCCAGTCACTGTTATGCAGAAGAAGGCAGCTTTCTTAGGTAACCGTTAAGCTGAAACATAGGGTTCTTCCGAGTCCAGTCTGGGAAATGCCTCACAAACACCATAAGAAAGCTGGTATCAGGTATCTGGAAGTCTGTACCACAGCATTATATGCTTCTTTTGGCATATATATGCTACACGGGAACAGCGACAACACGTGTCACTCGCTAACCAAGTCTTAACAAATATAAGGCAGAAGTCAGATGGCCAACGGGCGAGCCATCAGGTTTCTATAGATTGTAATATTTTGGTGTGGTAATATGAGACTGGAAAATTTGGAGTTTCTATTGCATTCTGTATTTGCTTATGTTCTACGAAGGTTTTAATTTGATCCAAGCAATACAACAATGGTTGCACTATTTATAGATAATATACATATATATATATATATAATTACACACACACAAACTGTTGTTTTAACAGGCTCGTATCAGATGACTTCTCAGTATAAGTTCCGTTCTGTGAATCTGTAGCAGGAAGGGAAAAGCGGCATTACAACACCTACTGAGCTTTATCACTTGTCACAACCCATCTATCATCTCATCCATCTAATGTATTCTTTTTACTCGCTCACCTCTCTTAAGGGTGAATGTTTCTTTCTCTGTGTAGCTGCAGGAGGAGAGGAAACCTCCAGAGATACTTCCAGTGAACCCATAAGCTCCCCGGCGGCGGTCATACAGCACGGGCTGTCGCCGCCCGCCGCGGCCTGCAGTCCCGGGCCCACCATCAACGGGCTGAGCGTCCGCGCTGCAGAGGCGGTGGCTATGTCGGTTTTGGCGGGTATGGGATCGAGCCAGCCAGGAGGGGTTGTCATGGCGACGCAGTCGCAGCCAACCCCAAGATGATGTGCCGACGCAGGTAGCCAGTATGAACTCGAGTGGCGTTCGGAGGCTGGACTGCGGCAAAGCGTCTGAAAAATGGGGATCCGCCCTAAAACCCCCTAACGGCCAGTGCTGACCACACAAAGACACGGCACAGAGCCCCCGCCGACGCGCCAGTCCCAGCTGTTCAGAGACGCTACGCCACTTTCTCTTTGTACATATGATAACACGCCGGACACTCGCTCTGGGGACGGTTTGGGGTCATTTCTTGTTCAGTCGTGACATTTGGAAACAAGTTTTAGATTGGGATGAAAATGTATGACTGAAACTTCTAATGTCGCGTTCATCGGTGTATTTTCATTTAACTTCAACTTCAGTCCCTCACGCTGGCTGTGATGAGGTTATTTGCTTTCCAGGCCGACAACTTTACTTGTATTTTTCATGTGTATGAAGATTATTATGCCTGATTCTGGTCGTCGACATATTGTTTGCTGATGCAGTGAAAGTACGGTTAGAGATTGGCTGGCTGATTTCAATAAATGGCAGCCTGGAAAGTTTTATTTTTTTATGTTTACTTTTCAACCTGTCTGTGTTTCCTTTTTCAGGTTACTCTCCTTAAATACACATGACGGTTTTGTCAGCCCGGTGCATAACAAACCACGCCCTCGCTGTGTACACACTTTACCGTGTGATTTTTACCATCAGTTTTAACCCATTTGGAATGGAAGTCATGACATTAGTCCTGTATGTTTCAAACCTTTTGACTGCATGGATTACTCAAGGCTAAAGAATACCACTGTTTGTTTGTGCTTCATCATACCATCACTGTTTATAGACCTGCTTCTCTTCTGTTTTAAAACATGAAAGTACTGATGCAAAAATGTTCCTTTTTTATTTAAGGATTCCATCCTCAGTCCAAATGTGACACTTTTGAAATGTTTAGCTTTAGAAAGCCTTTAAATGATAATCAAAATATTAGATTTTAAATCACTTACCCTGGCATTTCATTTGAAGAAATCAGTGCAATATATTTTTCTATTGAATATCAATGTTCTTGCATTTATTTGTTGTGTGAAGCCCAGCCGGAGGGGTTTGGTCTATTTGAGTTCAAATCTAAAGTTATAAGGTGAGCAGATGTGAAAGAATGAGATAGGTGATGAGTGCTTTCCAACATTTGAAAAGCTGTCTTGTATTATGAAGTATACCCAAATAGTTGTCCTAGGTGCTTTGAAATGAAATTTTGAAATGCAAATTTTATACCGCTGTACTTCCAAGACTATCGTGGTTTATTTCCCCTTGTCTCTGTGTTTTATTTTTTATAACGTTATTTTTTGACAGGTGCTTATCTTTCTCTGAGGGCATGTCAGGCTTTTTTTATCATGTGATTAGAATGTTCTTTTTTTCACACCTACACATAAAATATCTCTGATGTCTGTATGGAGAGTTTGTCAAATACTCAGGCTTCAAGATGGGAAAAAAACTTGTGTATAGTCTCAACTAATGAAGTGGTCTTGGGCAAATAATAAAGTAAATTAATGAGAAAAAAAAACTTCCCCTTCCACCTTTCCCCACTTTGTGTCTTTCACTTATTAGTCAGAGAGCTATGGATCCATCTCATGGGACCATTTATTTGATTAGTTAGACCTGGATATTTCTTTTTTGGAAAGATTTTTCTTTAGCCAACCTCACTTTCTCAGACCGGTTCGATAAAATGATTTCTTGATTCAGCAGGTCGGGAGGTATTGGGACCTGGCTGTGGCCAGTGGAATTGTTTCTCTCCAAAGAAGGGTTTAATCAGTTCACTCATAATTTCTCCAGGGGGGGGGGGGGGGGGGACAACTTTTCCCATAGGTTTGAAATTCACCGTTCTGTGTTGTATGTGTATGTATTTATGTGTTTACATATATGAAAATAAACTATCAAATTGGATGGGCCGTGACTCTGGTAACACGCTCATCACTACTGCGGGGAAAATAACTTACTAGTGCCCCCCTGGACAGGTTGGGGTGGCAGGTGAGTCTGATCTGCGGGATCCGGTTTCTGCTCCCAGTTGAAAACACGCAACAGCAGAGGGAGCAGAGAGTCCTCCTCACCCCTCCTCAGCCGCGTCACGTGATCCACCGACCGACTCCTCCGGCGAGTTGCTCGCATCTCCCACAGTCATGGCGGTGTCGGGGAGTTGCGGAGATGGAGTAAACACCGCCGCGTCCTGATTTGTTGACGGTTTCACGCGGGACTCGAACCGCCGTCGTCCGAGATCATCGCGAACGTCCCGCGGGCCGCCGCGCACCCAACGATGGCCGACCGCGGCGTCGATCTGTCGGCGCTGCCCAAAGAGGTCAGGGACCAGCTGGCGGAGTTGGACCTGGAGCTGTCCGAAGGTGAGCTCTCGCCCCGCAGCGGGTTTATCAGTTTAAGCTTCCCCGGTAATCGGCGCCAAAGTGCGGATCCCGAGCGTGTTTACGCGCGTGAGGCACGAAGCAGCGATCCGCGTCTCAGCTGAGTGAGACCCGGCGCTGCTGCAGTGGACCCGGCTACAACTAATAATGCAAACGCGCTGACCCCTTTTTTTAAAGCTGTCGTTTCTCCACCAACAACCCTTGTTGGTTTAAGTGTACACGGAGGCATTTATTTGCACAGATTGAAACATGATGCAAACAAATGGGTCAGTAATATAGAATGTTTCAGGCTGTTCGCCCTCCACGTTCTTGTCTTCAAACCCATCATCTTCCCACTTATGTGTCATACGTTGCTTATCCTCAGCTATAAGAGCACACACACTCCTGTCGGGGAAAATGGGTCAAGTTTGTCGTCCCCGAGGCTCTCTGTGTGTGTGCGCGATTTCGTGCGTGCGTGCGCAGCCTCAGACTTTGGTGGACACTAAATAATGCTGTCGCCCTTCCAACAGTCAGAGCCTTAAACCCCAAACTGCAGCAGATAGAGGAGGGCTATTTGTTTTAGGAGAACGACTGTGGGGAATGTGGCTGTTACGCAAGTCTCCTCCTCACACGGTGAATCACAGTGCAGCAGCTTGATAAGTGCCGTGCGGCTCTCAGGTGCCCAGGGGCCGGATGAGTAATGTTATGTTTCTCATGGAGAGCCAAACATGGGAGAGGAAGGGGGGGATATGTATGCCCCCTCCCACCCCCTAATGATGCCAGACACAGACACTCACAGATACCTTGGACTGGCTCTTCATTAAGAGGAACAGGTGAAACTCAATGTGTGTTTGAAGCTGTGATTTAAACTAGCTGGCAGTCATCCTGCACAGCTGACTGTGGATCTCAATGATTGTCACAGTCACTTGTTCCACTTTGGTATCTTAAAGTTCAAACAAGCTCAGGCCTGTTTTTTCTGTGCGCACAGACTCATTTCTGTAATTGGTGCTTGTCGTTTGCCGGTATTGGTTTACCTAGACGCAACGTCATTCATGATATAGAGTATATGATCTGAGCCACTGTAGAGTTCAGTGTGTGTTCTGCTTGATAATAGACACCAATTAACTGTGCCATAACGAAACTGGGTAATGGAGGAGGGAATGTTCACCGTATGTTCAAGTGACTTATTGAGAGGCCGTGGATGCACAACATGTACTGGAATATACGTTTGTATGACCACAACAAGATTTGTCCTACAAAGCTTTTTTTAATGAATGGGAGGTTGTAAGTATGGTTTAGTAACTATTTATTTACAACACATATTTATGTTATGATTACAAAAGGATTGGTTCTGCGCAAATTTGGAATTAAATTGTAAAACCATAGGTTAACAGACATGTTAGGAATACTGAAGACTAATATTATTGCTCATAAATAACAATAATTGAACTTTCAATTTCAAATTGTAGAATCTATACATTATTAAGTGGATATTGAAGTTGAGACTTTTGCCTATTTTCGTCATCAGTGAATTATTCCTGAAGAGAATTGTTAAAAGTCATCACTTGAGCACAGTCCCAAAGGTGTAATCTTCAATTGGCCTCTTCAAGTCGCACCAACACTGCAAAACAAAAATATACCATGTCCAAGTGACATAAAATAGACATGAATACTTATATCGTAAAAACGAATGACAGTGCATTTTCTGTCAAGGGACATATAAAAAAGTGAAAATCCATGTTAATTCTTGAAGTGGTTATAATGAATTGATCATTGTTGTCATTGAGGATAATTCTGCTGATTATTTTTGCAACTAAGCCCAAGACAATGTCCTCAAATGTCTTGTTTTGACCACCCAAAAAAATATCAGTTCTACTGTGAGTAAAGAAACCACAAAATATTTATTTAGAGATCTTGGAATGTTATTCTTTTTATACTCTCCATACGTCCCTCTACTTAATAGAATTGATAAAATTCAAGATTGAGCTCATGAAATCATGTGTCCCCGTGCAGTTCAGGGTTTCTTTTGTGTTGCAGCTTTGAGCCAACTGCTGCCAAAGTGAAAGTCAGAGCCGCTTGTGAAGGCCTTCTGTGTGTAAGTGTAAGTGGTAAATCGACACACCCGCGGGGGACTGACCTTCCTCGGATTGCTCCATCATTTGTAACTTTAGATCGTAGACAACTCCTCTGCTAACATAAAGGCCCGGTGCTGTGCAGATGTCCTGCTCCTGTACCCACATCTCATAGCCCGATAAAGTGCGTTACCCGTCTGCTCGACGCTGACGGGACGAGACGAGCAGCAGCCGGTCGCTCCAAACCGTCTGAACCCTTCTCATGGATATCTTTTACATGGCAACAATCCCCCCATTGTTGTCCAGATGCTTGGGACTCCCCGAGCGACAAACTAACGAAAATACGCATCAGCGGTTTTTTATTTTTTGCAGCACTGGTTGTTGGTGTGTGCGTGCATGTATGAGGGAGGGAGAAGTTCCACCTACATTAACCTCCGTGACTGTAAAGACACAAAGAAAGCCATTGAGGGGATCAAAGACTTGGTGATTGAGCCGGACTGGAATTTGGAGCACTGAGCAGCAACTGTTTAAGATGCTCAGCTGGGGAGTGTGCGGCCATTGTAGTGTCTGCAACTCCTGTTTATATAGTGATGGAGTGTTCACAGAAGACAGCAGGCAGTGTTTGGCATCAGCGTTTGGTAAACTTCATACCAAAAGTTTACCGGAGGTATTCAGTGATATATATACAAAACATCATCAGAATTAAAATGTACTGATTTCAAATGATAATCTGCATAGTTTTGGTCCACGCAGTTTCTAACAATTCAGAGTTCTTGCATTTTGTTGAATAAAAAAAGCTTCTTGTAGATATAATGTAGCTGCAACATCAGCTAACCACACATTCCTTTTCGATCACTGTATCTCTCTCTTTATCTCACAATCGGTGTGGCAGAAGCAACAACTGTTTCACACGTGGTTTTCAGTCTGAATCGTAGCAAAGACTGAGAGGCATTTGCTAGATTGCACTAAACACTAAGTATAATGGAGGCAGATGGGAAAGGTCAATAACTTGTGGGGCTCGGGAGCAGCCACAGGATCTCCATTTTTCCAAAATAATCCATCAGCAGTCGATAGAAAGACTGTCATCGCTGTGTTTAGAGCCATGCTGCTCTACAGACAGCAATGCTGGTGTTGAAACTCAGATGTCACAATTTGAATTGATAGACACGTGACCTGTGGTGCGTGACATCTGCACAGTCCCTATGAATGACTCATAAATGTATCCCACGTCATTCAAACGTGCAGAAAAGCCAACAATTCTGCAATGATCGCACAGCTTTGTGTAGTCATTGTATGTTCTCTGTCCAGCCTGATAAGTGGATGTGTGGATTTACTATTGACTGTAGCCTTCATTCGCTGTGGAGAGGCAGGTTTTCATCCCGGCAGCCTGTTCCAGAGAGAGAGAGAGAGAGAAATTAGAGATTACAGTCCTGCCTGCGTCTCTCAATCTAGGTCACAGAGCATCAGGGGGCAACACGCCCGGCTCATTTAGCCTGTGAGTCACACTGGGCCAGGACTGCTGCTGGGGATCTCTCTCTCTCCCACCCACCCTGACACCACCGCTGCCTTCTTTCCATCCGTCAGGCTGCTGTTATTCAGTGCTTCACTCCTTGATTGACAACTATTTCTTTCTTTTTTTTACAATGGTTCATCAATTTATATATATATATATATATAGTGTATTTTTTAGGGGGATTGTTGAGGGATTTTTAACTGCAGATGAATGTAGTGCACTACTGAGTATTTGTGAAAGCAGCATCTTAAAATGTGTATAAGGGCGTTGTATCAAAAGCTCGATTGAAGAGTTAATCTGCAAAGTCAGGAAACCAATTTGCTAGATTTCTTTGTTATTATTTACTTAGCAAAATTGACATCCATTTACCAGTTTTAGCCCTCTGAAATTTGAGGATTGGATGCTTGTCTTGGTAAATGGACTGTACTTGTATAGCGCTTCACTAGTCTCCCGACCACTCAAAGCGCTTTAACACTACATGACATCATTCATCCATTCATACACTGATGACAGGAGAACCACACACAGTGACACCTGCCCATCAGTAACTACCATTCACACGATTTTTATAGGTTTAGTTGCCAACAATCATCAAGTGTCTCCTTCAGGCTGAAAGGCTGGAAAGCAATGTGTGTGTGTGTCTGTGCATGCAAATATATGTCTGCAAGCTTACGCAAGCAGTTATGTGTGTGTTTGTGTGCACATTGACAGGGACAGGAAGGAAGCTGAGTTAGCCTATTTATTTAAAAGCTCATTAGCTGTTGCAGAGGAGATGTACTCCAATCACCAGTCAGCGCTCCAGGCCGCAGACTCGACCCACCCATGTCACACACATTAACAACCGCAGGATTCCTTTTTTTAAAACCATCATGAGTATCATATAGCACTCTTTTAATTTCAATGTAGACACAGACCCTCGCACGCACAAACACTGAGGATACATCGGGAGCACTGTGTACAAAAATGACTGAATAATTTAGATGAGGCGTGAGCGCACAGACACGCACAGACACGCACGTCAGCTTGGTACCTGAGCCACCTCACTTTCAAGTCCACAGTGAACTGCAGGTGTGCTCTCAAGCTGCACTTCACTAAACCCTTTAGTAGTTCAAATCAACCTTCTGATCTATTTGTTTTCTGCAGCTTCTTGCTAAAAGAAACACAAAGCAATGAGAGTGGTGGATGGAGAAGAGTGAGTAGTGGTGAGGTCACTGTGCTGTTCATTAAATTATTAAAAATGGCAAGTGGAAGTAGCTGCAGTCACACTACCTGAAACACGTGCTTCAGGCTCTGCACACCAGTGAGGCCATTTAATCCAGCTGTGTAAATGAACAAGGATCGCAAGTAATGATTATGTCAGTGGGCAGTGGCTTAATATTTCAATAAGTTCTATAATTTGTCTGTATGACACCAAAATA